AATCTGGCCTGGAATCGAAAAATAGATTAGGTTCCGATAAAATTTTTTTGATTAAGTCCCGATTAAATTTATTCTCACTTGTGGAGCAAGGTAGATGGAATTGTAAGTTCCGCAATGTATAAAATGGCTGTACGCCGATTGCGGATGCGACAATTTATGCGTCCAATCAACAAGATTGAATTTTTCTTTACATATATTTTGAAGTTGGGGTTGGGTTCTGTAACAGTTCTTCTTGTTCGAAACCTACGCCCGCTGGGTTTGGGACTGTTCCTTATCCTATCCCTTGAAATTTCTGAAAGTTATAATCGTTTTTCAGAAATTTTTAAAAATTGGACTTCCACACATTTGTGTATGTCTTTATAAATTATCCTTAAAAATCAGAATTTCAGTTTAACTTCTTTATATTGTAAAGCATATAGCTATTTAATTCCTAAGGCTCGGCGTGGTGTAATGCAGAGCTCGGCACGGGACGGGACCCCGGCCGGGATTTTACGGGATCCCGTCCCGGAATCCCGGGTTTTTAGCGACAAACGGGATTAGGATTCCGGGATTTACGGAATTAATCCCGCGGGATCCCGTCCCGGTCGAATTTTGAAAAAAATCCCGTTCCGGGATCCCGGGAATTTTTTTCAAATTTACGGGATTTATAATTAACTCAAATAAACGGTAAAAGTCCAGCTCGCTATCTACAGGGTGCGTAAAAAGTCCTTGCCCACACTATTTTATGCATAAAAATTTAATCAGATGGAATTTTGCCAAATAAATTTACACATACAATTAAATGAATGTCTGTTACTAGAAAATTATAAAAGATTTTCAAAATTTTACTCATGTGCAGAAATACAAGCATCTAAACGCAACTGGAAATTGCCACTGATGGTTGCACACCTTAATCCTTCACCATATCTCACCAGATCTTAACAATATCCTAACTCACCAGATCTTAATCTTTTGGACTATTTTTTTGGTCAATTTTGGAGCAAAGGATTAGTTGGAATAAATAAAAGATAATTGAGAATCTGAAAACTGCATTAAAGCGAGCCCGGGACCAAATTATTAGTGATGTTGAATGTGCGACCATCGTAGGCAATTTCGAGAAGTGTTTAGATGCTTGTATTTCCGCAAATGAGTAAAATTTTGAAAATCTTTTTTATTTTCTAGTAACAAACATTCTTTTGATTGTATGTGTGAATTTATTTGGCAAAATTCCATTTGAAAAAATTTTTATGCCAAAAAGAGTGTGGGCAAGGACTTTCTACGCACCCTGTATATGTCCGCAAAAGAATTTCTGCAAAACTCATTTTTTACTGTATTCTCCTTCTTTCCTTTGATGGGTTGTCAGATTGGCGCATCTATATTGTGACGTACATCAAGATATAGAGTTTATTTATAAATAGGGTGTTTCAAAAAATGCAAATGCATATTTTGTATGCAGATATGCCATGAGCTGAAACGCTCAAAAATGGTGTTTTTACGTCGGTACGATGATTACGGACCGGGTTCCTATAGCATATTTTTGCATATTTCGGTACTTTTGTGCATATTTGCATATCGATGCATATTTTGGGAAAATTTGCATATTTTTACCTAACTTTGTGCATATTTTGGCATTTTTTGAGAAATTTTAGTAAAAATCGGGCAAAATTTTCGAATTTTTTGGGCAAAAAATTTTTTAATAAAAATTTGTTGAAAAAATTTTTTCGAAAAATTTTTTGGGAAAAATTTTTTACAAAAAAATTTTTTTCGGTTGAATTTAAAGTTAATAAAATCTTTTAGAAGTGTTCTTAAACTGCAATTTAAATGCTAAAACTATATTTTTTACTTAAAAGATTGATCTTTAAAGCACATTTTCATTTTTTTGCTGCATATTTAGTGCATATTTTGGCAAATTTGGCCTATTTTGATGCATATTTTGGGCTTTTTCTGTGCATATATATGCGCATATTTTTGGATTTTTCGTGCATATTTTGAAACACCCTATTTATAAATAATTAAATAAAAATTTAACGAATATAATTTTATGATAAGGTCCCGCCAAGTTTTATGGAACTTCACATATAAATTTTCGGCTTTTTTCCAGTTTAAGCATCCAAACAATCTCAAGCGTCCAAATATTTTCCCCTTTAGCACTTCATCCACAGATATCTATTACGCTAAAATTTATATGTGAAATTCCATAAATCTTGGCGGGACTTTATCATACAATTATATTAGTTAAATTTTTATTTATTTGTAATAAATCTTTTTTTCGATTTACGCCACAATGTAATGCGCCAAGTTGTCAATCCATCAAAGTAAGGAGGGGCAAGGGAGGAGAATGCAGCATAACATGAGTTTTGCAGAAATGCCTTTTGCGGACATATAGATAGCGAGCTGGACTTTTGAGTGCCGGAATTTTCGTCTCTGGAACATTCGTCTCCAAGGTTTTTCGGAACTTTCGTCTCCAACATTTTCGGAATTTTCGTCTCCAGCGGAATATTCGTCACCAAGCTGAAAAAACGGAATATTCTTCGAATGACATATATTGTCAAGATCTATTTGTATTCTATAGTTTTATAGGCTTACTTAGTTTGATTTTGTGTTATTTTTGAATAAATAAAAAATTCACTCCGAAGCCCTAAATTCCCCGCGCCTAAATTTTAGTGACGAATATTCCGTTTTTTCGTCTTGGTGACGAATATTCCGTTGGAGACGAAAATTCCGAAAATGTTGGAGACGAAAGTTCCGAAAAACCTTGGAGACGAATGTTCCAGAGACGAAAATTCCGTACACCGGACTTTTACCCAAATAAACGGGTACAGCCCGATTAGGCGCGACCGATTAGGCGCGCGGCCAATTAGGCGCCGGCCGATTAGGCGCCAAGCTTTTAATTAAATATTCTGATTATAGTCAATTAGAATGGTCCCATCGACCATCAAATGGAACCATTCTGAATTATAAAACAAAAAATTTACAAAAAATTTTCCAAAATTAAAAAACCGTCCTAACTACAGTTTACGTATCAGACTCAAAATTGGACAATTTATATGTCATTCGAACGGGCTCGACGAGCTGAGTTGAATGACACCAAAATCAGCTCGATTGGATGATTTTTGACAAAATTATGACCAACTGAATCTTCGCTGGAAAAACTGTTTTTGTGCTGCTACGGAGGGTAGGCCGGGCATGGTCTTCGCTACACGATGGCCGTGCTTCGCTGCGGTCGTGCTCGCTTCGCTCGCGGCGACCGTAGCGAAGCGGCGGCCGTCGTTCCACTCGACATGCCCGGCTTCCTCCGCAGCGGCAAAAACTTTTTTCCGCGGAGGCCTTATGGAAGGGGGTGTTAATTAAAAAGTTGGCGCCTAATCGGCCGGCGCCTAATTGGCCGCGCGCCTAATCGGCCCGCGCCTAATCGGCCCGCGCCTAATCGGTCGCGCCTAATCGGCCCGCGCCTAATCGGGCGTGTCCCAAATAAACTGCCTGCGGCGGTGAAAAAGTATGAAATCTGGCTTCTTGCCTTCTAAAATTCTTAAAATTTTCGCCTGCGGCGCTGAAAAAGACTAAAGTTAGCTTCTCCATCCAAAATTCAAAAGGTTTTGCCTGTGGTGAATGAATTAGGAGTAATATGAATGAATCTTTGGGATTAACAGAGATATATAGGGATTGTGAGGTGTACGTTGGTTTGTGAAGTTTAAATCGTCTTAAATTCAATTCCGAAGGATTAAGCGGTCAAGGACGATTCAGTATCGCCGATTCAGTATATGGCATAACTTTCCTGATATTCGACCGATTCGAATAATTCTCATATCATTCGAAAGGTCTCGTGATACATCTTTTTCATAATTGGCCCGATCAGATCTGATGATCACAAAAAAAGTTACAGTGTGAAAACCGATTTTTTATGCCTGCGACGTCGTTTATCAGTGATAACTTTTTGTAGAGTGATCAGATCAGATCAGTCCAATTATGAAAAAGAAACTTAAATTTGCCCCAAGGGCCTCATTTTAGATTTTACCGTATTACATACCTCCATGTAAGAAAGCGGAATAACAGATAAACGAGAGGCTAGAATAAAATCTCCATTAATTAACAATTCTATTGGAGATTGATTTAAAAAATTTCGTTGCCACCAATCTTTTAGCCAAAACTTTTTGAGAAAACTTCCTATAGCGTCACTGGAGAATCCTAACCAAACATAATTTTTGCTAATTCGTATAGTTATGTGCATTTCTTCAACCTCAAATAAATTTGTTCCGATAATCGTTTCATTTACTTCAGACTGAATTAGGAGTTTAAAAGTAAGGTTTAGGTGATAAGTGACTAGAGATCGAGCTGGACCTGGACCAAGGCCTGGGTTTTTCCTGTACCCAGAGTCCAGGTCCAGGCATTTTTTGACCTTCCTGGGTTTTTCCTGGACCTGGGTTTTTCCTGGACTACAGGCCCAGGATCCAGTCCAGGTCAAGAAATCAACTCCAGAGTCCAGGAACAGGTCCAGACCAGGGCTGTGCGCCAAAATTTTCGCGTGGCGCGCCAAACGCCAATTTTTTAAATTTTAAAAACACGCCAAACGCCAAAAATCGGCCAAAATCAACGCCAAAACGCCAAACGCCAAAATTTTTAGAGTCTATAAAGACTTAAAAACCACTGTTCATCTCATTTTAGCGCCGCAGGCGAAATTTTTTGAATTTTCAAGATTCCCAGAAGCCAGGATTCATCCTTTTTTTACCGCCGGAGCGAAATTTTTAAGAATTTTGGAGGCAAAGAAGCCGAAATTCATCCTTTAAAAAATTTAAAAAAATAAGAAATTCATAGAACTCCTTGAGATTAAGGTGGATATGAAGGGATAAAGGGAGTAATGAGTATAACAGAGGTCATGAAGAGAGTAAACGATTGGCGGGAGAGTAACGATTGACCTCCCTTAAGCGCCGCAGGCGAAAATTTTGAAAATTTTGGAAGTCCCAGCAGTAGATTTCTTCATATTTTATGCGCCGCAGGCGAAAATTTTGAGAATTTTGGATGACTGTACGCAGAAAAATTTCCTTTTTCGATCATCCCTTTCTCCATTTATTTAAAAAAAATTCCATCATTAGGGGTGTATATTTTTGGCGTTTGGCGCGCCAAAATCGGAAAATCACGCCAAACGCAAAACGCCAAAAATCGGCCAAAATTAACGCCAAAACGCAAAACGCCAAACGCCATGACGCACAGCCCTGGTCCAGACTTTTCAAAAATCTCGATCTCTACAACATACCATATAAGAAAAAATTTTTATTTCACTTCCAGCAAATTCAATTTTCATGAAAGTATCATTAGAATTATAGAGTTCAAGTTCGGCATTATTTCCAAAGTTATTCATCAATAATATTAAACGAACAATTTTATCTCCAGATATTATAATTCCCAAATCGTGAAGAGTATTATCAGTATACCTTATACAATCTCTGTAATGTGGTTCCCAACTACTAGATAATGTTGGCTCTAATGAGTTTGGTGTTGCAAGGGTTTTGAACTAAATGTTTTTTAAGATAAATAAAACTCTTAGATCCCCAGGCAACTAACAGATGGCTTTTTTCGAGGTTCCTTTTTCTTTCAAAAATTATAGTCTTTGTTTAAAGATACAATCCTATTATATAAAATAATCTCTAAATCGATTAATAATTGAAAAATTTTGGCACAAAAATAAATAAAATACATATTTAAATATTAAAAAAATTTTCAATACAAAATTTTTGGCACAAAATACGGGGCTTCGGGATTCTACCGGCGGGACTCAATAGACGTTCTATTACAAGTTTAGTTAAGTTTAAAAATTGATATAGTATATTTTACCACAGCATTAATTGAACAAACACATCCTTTATAAACAAATAAATGTAAAGAATGTTGTGCAGATGTTGGTAACAAATCTAAACCGAGAGCCCAAAGGCCGGCATATTTATGAAGATATGCACCCCTTTCAACTTTGCTAAGAAATTCATTAACAAGTTCAGCATCCTCCCCAAGAAAAATTTCTTTTGCTAAATATATTATATTATTTTTTATATTGTGCATAACTATGCACTCTTATTTATGTGCCACTAAAATTCTCTAAAAAATTTTTTATAAATACATTCATAATATAAATAGTGTCCGGATTTTTTTGCAAACACAGTTGTCAAAAAAAGCCCGAATATGCAATTAGATTTTTCGACATTATGATTTTTAACAAAGTTACATTTCAATTTATTTCAATATTCTTGCATATTTTTATAAAAATTTTGAGATTTTTCATAATCTTAGCTAAAGTTTAATGCCATATACATATAACAAAATCTCATTCATCATTGCTGCAAGAGTGAATTCCGAAATTAATATCTTTACTCCCTACCAAAATCGTAGTGATGGTCGGGATTCCCGGTCTCGGTTCCCAAGTCGGGAAATTTCCCGGGTTTTTTGAGCTCTCGGTCTCGGTGTTTTGGTCTCGGAAAACGAGACTAAATTTACACCCCTAATGACGGAAATTTTTTGAATTTTACTCGTAACCCTCGTACTTTGACATTTAATTTTTTAAGGAAAAGGGAAAGAAATATTTATATTTTCTCCCATTTTTCCTTTGATGGTCGATGGTTGAGTGGTTAAGTTGACTGACTTCAATCACTTTGTTATTTTGTTAGGTTTGGGTTCGAATCCAGGGGTTGGATTTAGGCTGAAAAAAATTTTTCTTTTCAAGAATAAATATTTTTTAACTTTGATTTTGATTTCAAATTTATTTTTTTAATATTTTAACTTGAAAAGACATTAAAAATTTTAATCCAACCCCTGGATTCGAACCCAAACCTAACAATTCGAACCCAAACCTAACTTACAAAATACAAGAATTACGGCCCTAAATATTAGGGGTATCAATGGATATATAGGGATATAGGATTATGAAGGATATATAAGGGTATATCAAGTGATATCCCTCCTAATCTCTTGGTCTCGACTCTCGGTCTCGACCCGGGACTCGGTCTCGGGGTTGATTCCCGGTCTCGGTTCCCGACTCTCGGCTTTTTTTAACTCCCGACCATCACTACAAAATCGGACGTTCAGTGGCCCAAGGACATAAATTAGCCGGGACACTATCAGCATTTATCAGCATAGCATAATCTAAATGTCGATCGAAAAATTACTAAAATAAATATAATTATGGGAGACTTTAATATCTCAACTATTAATTGGAATATATTAAGTGCTTCTAATCAAATAGAAAAGGTTTTACTCCAAATTATTACCCAAACGAGCAGTATACAAAATGTTAAAGAATCCACAAGAGAGAAAGCCATACTTGATATTGTGTGTAACATAATTATAAAGGAACCCATATTTTCGGTCATATCTTGAGTTTTTCTGGATGAATTGGTCTGAATTTTATTTATGTGATAAAAACATTATTTTGGCATAAAAAAAGAGAAACGTTTTTATCAAAATTTAAATTTTTTATGATTTTTTTTCAAAAATTTTGGTTTAACATAATTATAAGTGAAGTAAAGCGATTTGAGTGATTTTATGAATGATTTTTGAGTGATTTTGATTTGAGTGATTTCTATGCCTGAAGGTTTATCACATTAGGTCTAACAGTTGAGTTTTTGGCCTAACTAGTTTCCGGATCAGGCTCAGAATTGGACGATTTATATGTCATTCGAAAGAGCTCGGCGAGCTGAGTCGAATGGCACCAAAATTTTTCCGCGGAAAAGATTCGGAGCCGAGATATAGGGCTCGAAATGGTCAAAAACCATAGGGGGGAGTAAGCACTTTTTTGGGGTAAAAAATTCGAATATGCAAATAATAGCTCATTCGAAAGAGCTCGTCGAGCTGAGTCGAATGACATCAAAATCAGCTCGATTGGATGATTTCTGACAAAATTATGACCAACAGAATCTTCGCTGGAAAAACTGTTTTTGTGCTGCTACGGAGGGTAGGCCGGGCATGGTCTTCGCTACACGATGGCCGTGCTTCGCTGCGGTCGTGCTCGCTGCGCTCGCGGCGACCGTAGCGAAGCGGCGGCCGTCGTTCCGCTCGACATGCCCGGCTTCCTCCGCAGCGGCAAAAACTTTTTTCCGCGAAACCCTTGTGGAAGGGGCTAAAACAAACGGTCATAACTTTGTCAAATGACGTCTGATTTTGTTGATTTTGGTGTCATTCGACTCAGCTCGATGAGCTCTTTCGAATGAGGTATAATTTGCATATTCGAATTTTTCACCCCCAGAAAACAGCTTGGTCCCCCCTATGGTTTTTTGAACTTTAGGGGTCTGTAACTCGGCTCAGAATTTTTTCCGCTGAAAAATTTTGGTGTCATTCGACTCAGCTCGACGAGCTCTTTCGAATGACATATAAATCGTCCAATTCTGAGTCTGATCCGGAAACTGTAGTTTAGCCGAGTTTTTTCGTAAATAAAATTAATGCTATCTTGTAGCAAATTTCAAGGGCTTTCAAATAAGCCCAAATATAAAATTTAAATTCCAACTGTAAGGGGTCGAAAATATTTTTAAAGACGTCTATCCCCTGTTTTCCGTTGATTTTCTGGTTTCAAGATCTCGATGATGAAAGTATATTAGAAAAAATTTTTTGGATTTTTTCTACCGTATTTAGTTAAATTATTTTTACTTCACTTATAATTACGTTAAACCAAAATTTTTGAAAAAAAATCATAAAAAATTTAAATTTTGATAAAAACGTTTCTCTTTTTGAATTTTATGCCAAAATAATGTTTTTTATCACATACCGTATTTCCTATATTAGAGCCCCATGGGGCTCTATTTTTCAACTATCCTCCAAGGTGGGGCTGTATTAAAGGGTGGGGCTCTAATTGAGGGTGGGGCTCTATTTTTCAACACTCTTTCGTGATAAAATCCCATTTATTAAATATCCATTGCAACTAGAGATAGGCTGGAGAGGTGGTCGTTAAAACCGAAAAATATCGAAAGAGAATCGAAATTTTCGATTTTCCACAAAAATTAAAACTTTATAAGCAATGAATAACAAAATAGTCGCAATAGTTCGAGAGTAAGATTACTAAGTATGAAATTCTGGTAGATTTTGACGGATTAAAGGAAATATTAGGGGACTAGTATTTGACATCGATGGATCAGAGGTATAAAAGTTGATTTTAAGGGATTATGGGGAACATATTAGGATTAAATTTATTAATTTAGGATTAAATTTTATTAATTTGTAAAAGGGATATTCTGGATTAGGAGGCATATGAAGCGATTTTGTTTGATGAGGCCTTGGAACAGGTTCCAGAACTGGAACTGAAGTAATTCAAAAAGCATTTCCAGAACTGGAACCGGTTCCAGAGAAATTGTGGAACTTCTCCTTCACTGATTATAAGCGAGATCCCTAATAGATCTCTAATAATCTCGCGAATTATCGTCAATTTTCTGGAGTGATTTGGAGAAATATAGGTGATATAAGAGTATTTGGACGGATATCGGGGTTATTTCCTCCTTTTCATCCCTATATCCCCATGATCCCTCCTCCTCCATGATCACAATATCACCAATATCCCCCTTTACTTCCTTAACTCTCGAAATACAGCTAAAAAGTTATTGGGGATATTTTTTCCTCCACTATTTTTAGTGGGGCTATATTTGGAGTGGGGCTCTAATTGAGGGTGGGGCTCTATTTTTCAACTATCCTCCAAAGTGGGGCTGTATTAGAGGGTGGGGCTCTAACAGAGGGTGGGGCTCTAATATAGGAAATACGGTATATAAAATTCAGACCAATTCATCCAGAAAAACTCAAGATATGACCGAAAATATGGGTTCCTTTATAATTATATTACACACAATAGACTTATCGGTACTATCGCATTATATCGCCACATGTCCGTAAATGTTTGTGCGCAAGTTTTTACTTCCCTCTTCTGGGATATTTTAAAAGAAACGGTATATGATTAATAATGGGCATGAATTAATTTTATACTCCAGTCAGTTTGAGAAAGGCTCGGTAAGACTTTGACTCCGCAACACAACAAAAAACATGTTTTTCTAATGTAATTTAATGCGCTGAGTTCAAATATCACCATAAAA